GTTTCCAAACTTTTGATCACGATTAATTTCGTTCTCCACTGTCAACATCCAGCTGATAAAAAATGTCAGCACAATGTTCTCAGTGCCTTCATCAAACATGTTAAACAATCTAAACGAATTGCAAATCTAACGCTATACTTATGCGGATGTGTACAGTTCGAAGGTAGCAGCACCACTCATTCTCTTAGATAAATCAATTTTGCATTTATGCTTGAATTAAAGCTCACCACATCATTACAGCTCTCTAGAGCTAACAAATAAAACACCACAAACATTTAAGTTACAGTCACAAGCACCAGTGAATGACATTATATGACCGTGTATATAATTGATCGTACGCTACGAACCTTACATTTTACTATTCTGCACATAAGTCGATGGAACGTCGTCAGTGTAATACAGTACTCGACAGTACACCGTAACCCACACACGAGGGTGAAATCCATTTCAGTTTTGTAGTCTCAAACAGAAACATTATAAAATAGAAAAGTATGCCTAGGGCTAAAAACATAATTTCCAATAAAGCAACAACTGCTAAACACTATTTCAAATTGTCAAAAGCACTTTAGAAATGAAAACAAAATCCCAAGGTGAGTCAAGAACCGTAGCGTTCCGGGACAAAAGAAGTCGGAGGGCGGTTTAAAAACCCATCTCGAAATTGGCGTGGGGTTGGGGGCGAGGTGTAATTTATTTTTTTGTGGGTGCCAGTGGGGGAGAACCGTAATGAGAGGCAGGTAGCGCCTACGAGGAGTCAAGGACAGAGTCTGAGAGCCACAACACACCTTCTCACACGAACATCTTACCTGCGGTGAAAATCGTTCTAACCAAATTGGACAACCGACGTCCTATCTGTTCCTCCCACCGTTGAAGTGTTATAAATAAATAAATAAATAACGTCTTTATTTATCCAGCGTACATCAGATACAAAGTTCTGTTTTACATGCAAACTTTTGTCATATACAAGTAAATTAAAAAGAAACATTCTTAAAAAATAAAACTAAAGGTGCATATCTTTAACATTCTTCTTAAATACCATTAATCCTTTTTCTTTTACCCCTGATGGTAGAGCATTGTAAACCAGGGGTCCAAAGTAGGAAAAGGCCTTTTTCCCCGACTCAGTTCTGACCCGCGGTAACTGCAACAAGCCTTCCTGACGAGTACTGCGCCCACAGACCTCAGATCTTCGTACCAACTTGGTATTCAGATACTGAGGTTGGTTTGTCAGCAGTGTCTTGTGAACCAAAATTGATGTTTGGAGATCAGAGATTTGCTGTATGGATAGTGTATGAGATTTCAATCTAAATTCACTAATATGGTCAAATTTCTTCAAATTATAAACAAACCTCAGTGCATTATTCTGGAGCCTTGTCAGTATTTTGATTTTTTCTTTCGTTAAGCAACCAGAAAAGGTAGAGAGGCAGTAGCTAATAGATGGATAAACCACTGCTTGCACTATTTGAAGTTTTGCTGAAGTAGGCAATATGAACCTCAACCTGTGCAACCGTCTCAACTTGCCAACAGCAACACGACAGATACGGCTCACCTGCTCAGAAAATTTAAGAGTATCATCCAGATGGACACCAAGGACTCTTAACGAAGAACAAAGTGATAAAGGCATATTATCCAATGAAATCATCATACTACCCCTATTAGAATTCAGTCTGCCTTGCAGAGAAGAATTACTGACATGCAAAACTGAGCACTTATCAGGATTTAGTTGCAGCCCATGATCATCAGACCATTGCTTAACCACACTCAGATCACAGTTCACATCCCTGATCGCGTCAAGGAGATTCGAAGATGGAAAAGAAGCGATAAGATGTGTATCATCTGCATATGAATGAATAGCACAATACCTCAGTTGACTCCCAAGGTCGGAAGTGTAAATCAAGAAAAGGATCGGCCCTAGACAACTAAAATGTTACTTGTGTTCAGTGTCTTCTGTCTAACAAACCTCAATATGAAAGAAAAACACACGAGAGGCGGATTTAACATTGTTTATTGAGGTGAATCGGGGAAGTTTACGTTTCGGCTGTTTTGTTATGGACCAAATTCATTAAAATTGTAGAATGTTTGATAAAGCTCGGACAAAATTCAAGTTGTTAGACTCATACTGGTGTTTTTACTACTCTGATTTTTCGATTTTAAGGCATATTGTTCTCTTTCATCTAGAGCACAAGAATTTGTTATTTATTGGTTTTCAATAAGCACTTATCTTCCTTCTGTTATTGTTTGGACGCTTACTATTTCGACTAGATTCGTTTCCCGGTTTAGTGCATTATTCATGGATTTCGTGTTTTATCGACAAAGGTAGTAACGATTTGATTGCTGATTAGGTTTGGATCTGTGTATGTACAATATTGTTTCAAAAAAATGTATACACAATTAATCGTACTTGGGTTTGCTCACTGGGTTTTCGTGCATAAACTAAGTCAATGTAAAATTATCAGATTGTAGAACGAAACGTATCTAGATACTGTTTTCATAATCGAAAGCCAACCCACGATGAAATTTAGGAATCATCAACAACCCTAAAAATCACTTCCCAAATCCTTCAAGTATTCAAACAACCCAAAACCAATCACATTGAAAAAACGAAAACGACCAATCCTTTGCATCCGAATCACGAGTCGAATCATCCAATTAATGTTCATCAAGTGCGCCCGCCCTCAAGACCCATCATGGGAGAAAGTAGAGGCAAGGCTGGACACCAATTATCGTTGGAAAGCAGCAGGGCAATACGTATGGAAGCTGCATAACAAAATGAATAATGACTTAATTGTCGGACTCAGATCTCATTCCGATGGAAGAGTCCCTAACGAGCTGATAGGTCTGATTGGTCACCGAGCAGAGACGAAGATCCCATTTCAGATTTGTTGGTTAACGGGTACCACCGGTTGTTATTCCCACTGTTCTAGCCGGAGTGTTGATTAGCCATGATTTATGAAATTGGTCTTGTCAAGTTATGGTGATTAGTTTTTCTGGAGGAGTTTGGAATGGATTTTTAGTTAGTTGAAGGCTTTTGAGGTCGCATAAGTTGAAGAGGTTGCTGTAGGGTGTTGAAGATTCGTAGAATTGTATGTGGCATTTGTGACTGAAGGCAATTTTGAAAGTTGGGTGACGTTTCATATTCGGATTTAGCTACAAGATTTTGATGGCTGAGGCTGCAACTTCATCTTCTTAAAGCATTTAACATTACTTTGTGCTTTAATTTCACAATCTGTGTGACAAATGTTTGAGAGAGTGTAGTGGTTGAAGGAATTTCTATTTAAAGTTCATCCAAATTCCAAAAACGTTCGATACGGAAAGTGATTTTGAAAGTTGGGTGACATTTTCTACTGGACTAATTACCACGAGATCATAATGCCAAGGATGAATCTTCAACTTACCCTGAAAGATGTTATCATTCCTTTGTACTTTTCATGTGACAGTTTATGTGAAAAATGTTTGAGTGGGTGAATAGATTGAGAAATCGCTATTGAAAATTCATCAAATCCTCCAAAAAACATTGAACTGGTTTCAAGGATTTGAAAACACATTTAAAATTCCTTTGTAGTTTTAATTCCCTACATTTTGTGAGCGATGTTAGCAACAAAGTTGCACTACGTGCTTCTTTACATCTTCGTTATTTAAAAAGGTTCTACCCACGCACCAAGGATTTACACGTCCATTACCTTTTAACAGCCAAGTGTCCAGATAAACCAGCACTTTTCTCATTCACGATTCACATCAACATCAAACGTGTGATAAATTCATCCGAGTTAACGATATGCGTAGTTGACGTTAATTTACAGCCTTTCAGTCGTTATAAAGCAGACAAATGAAATGAAATAATCATTATTTATACGTGCTAGCAAGACGTTCATTAGAGTGACTAATATCCCGAGGTTTTCCGACCTTCTGTTCAAAGTCACGCTGACGGATAATTGTTTCTTTCACTTTTGTGAAGAGTAGGATTTATTTGCTGAAGATTCTTTAAGAGTTGTTAGTCTTAGGAGTAAGACGTTCAAAACCTTTCCGGTACACCCGTTCTCAAGATAGATCTCAACATTTTTCACGACTCCTTCTTAAAATTTCAGTACGTCTACAATCTCTACACCCTAATAGGACACAACGTATTCTCCCATGTCTTTTGACACGTTAACGTCTCAACATTCCATCAGCCACGTATAGCTGGACTCCGCCTAGGGTTCGAACACATTCCAGCCATACTGTTACTGTACTTTATCGAGACTGGGTTATTGCGCTGTTAAGCCTGTTATGCGCACGTTTGCGGCCAAGATCCATCGATAAGTCCAACATTCGCCACAGTGTGGCTGTATTGCGCGCCGTAATGCGCAAGTCAGGACCTCAGTACCTAGGTCAGGTCAGTTACTGGCGAGACGTCGTGGCATGCGAAAGGATAGGAATTTTTATATCTACAAGCATCTGTTGACATCTGTTGACATCTGTTGAAAGAGGCTTTTGTGATATCACTTCTTGATGGTTAAGTGGATTATTTGTCTCCCCTAGGACACTAGGATCTAGCCCGGGATTGTTTTTCACATTACTTGAGACTAGGCCTAGGGGTTGTGGCATCAACAATTAGATAAAATACATTGGTGATTGGCAAGATTTTTGATTTTGGTTTCAGTGGGTACAGAGTGGGCTATTTATATGATCATCTGTGGAAAACCGTGGAGTAGGATGCTAAAACTATTGATATTTAAGAATAATCCTTCTTAATTAAATTATGAAGGCACTGGTAAAACTCTAGGAAGATAATGTGAAATTCTCTGGAACAATTAAGAATAAAGATGGCAAGGATGATAACTGTTCATGAGTGAGTTGAAATTGATCGAAATTCAAGAAGAAAGACGCTCGAAGTCTGACTTAGGGACAAATGTATTTGGGTTGTGCCCAAAAACTTTACCTAGAAACCTGTTCGCGTACTGACAGAAATGTCTATTCACTGCAAGTGTAAAATTAACTTTTAACAAAATACTGTGGATTATTCTTACCTTAATTGTCCTGCAATGAAAGGTGACATATCCTCCACAAGCTCTGACAGCACTAACACCGTGGTCCCGGGCGGACCTTGGTATGTTGCAGTCTGGTTGAGCAGCTGAGACCCCGGGGGTTGGACGACGACCGACACCGGACCGTTGGAGGTCTCGAGACTCTCCGGGTTGTCATAGACGTCCTGAGGGTTTTGTGAAGCCGGAACGTAGATGACAGTCTTCTGGTTGGCTGCCGCAGCCTCTTGCTCATCGTACTCGATCACACTGACCGGAGTCATGGTCGCGAGCATCACCGGCGAGGAGGCGTCCCTCTTGGGCGACTCTGGGTTGGGCGAAGAGCCTGGAGCGATGGGCGAGCTGGGCGCGTCTCCAGAGTTTCCTGGAGATTCCATGGCTCTACGCATCTTGAGCACCTCGGGGGTGAGCGAGGGCAGAGGGGAGGTGACGCTACTCATCTTCTCCGATGGTGGGGTCTGCCCATCGGCGACGACCTGAAACAAGAAGAACACTTTAGACACAAGTAGGAAGATAAGTAGATTTCACCAACACAAGAGTACATATTAATTTTATTTCGATGGAAAGTTGAATTACATCTTCCTAGAAGAGCTTATTTGAGAAAAGAAAAGGACTACGTGCATAACAATATGTAAAAGAGGAGTCTGAAGGTCAGCCACTGAACTTTTTTGGACAGCAATCAATAAATCAGAGCAATTTAAGTGCAGAAGGCCAAGATTTTGCTTGGGTACGATAAAGATCCAACAATATACCTAATTAAGTGACAGATACTCAGAATCGAGCAATGTGTAGAAGTCATTGCTATTTCTGCATGCACAGGTGGATTCATAGCATTTAGTCAACAATAAAACTTCTTATAATGGGGTTGAAGGTTTGATCCTCAATACAGCCATCTCCTATCTTAGACCCAATACCTCACCACGGCCCACGTATCCAACTACTCAGGTCGTGCCCAGTTACACGAGGACAGCTGTATGGCCAGGCGTAGATTACAACTTGACTACAGTCATTCATCAATTAAAGGACACAATTCATTACAGCTCCCATATCGAGAGATGGTCGTTAGCGACTCTCTCTCTCTCTTGTCACTCATTAACTTTTGCTTTTTGTTTCAGTTTTGATTCGTCTTAAGGATCATACCAGCCTTACTCAGAAGTAAAGTGTGTTTAGTTAAATCTTGGATGATTCGGAGCAAAAACTCGGAACGGAAAAACTTCTCGAAGATGCCTCGCCACGATCGAAACTGCTTCCACTATCTTTGCCAATCCAACGAAGTCCAAGGACGTGGCCATCTCCCAAGACTGAGAATCAAAAACTCACAATTTTGCTTTCAAAAAGCTAAGCAGAGTCTAATGCTGAAGAAGATAAAATGTTGCGTTTGGGTAAATTGTTGGATGATTATGCAATTTCTCGTCTCCCCATCACATTTACCCGCCATGTTTACTTATCATTGGAGTTGTACCAAGAATGTAGGATGAGGGTACAGCGACCATGAGAAACCTACCAACGTTATTCGCCAGCGCCTCACAGCAGGGGGTTTATTAAGTTTTATCTCTTAATAGTCAAAGTATTTCCCTTTAAAGATGACATCATCCAGCCATCTCGCCAGTTTATGCCTGAATCTGACATGTTTATCACTCTAGGTTGACGCGTTTTAGTATAAATTTTACGACGAAAAGTTGGAAAGTATTTGCATTGCGAAAGTCTTTGCTACGTAAGTCTTGATAAATCTTACCACAGGAATGAGGGAAACTCGTGTGTCGATTAAAAGAATTATTTCAAGAATGAAAGTTAAACCACTTTTAAAGTTAAATGGAAAGGAATTGGAATGTAGCTAAAAGCAGTGTTTACGATGTTTTGTAAGGTTAGATGTACAACTATTTACTTTTCTTCACGACAGAATTTGTTATGTAAATGGGCAAAAGCTTTATTTCAAAGGATAGGGTGTACTTCATTTTCAAAATGAAGGATTCTTAAGAAGAACCCTTCAATGTCGTAACTATAGATGGGATGCAGACATGATACAGTATTTGTTTTTATGAAAACAAGTTGTTCTTATGCTATCCAAAACCAATTTCACACATCATAATTGTTTATATTAATCTTCTATTGAGAAACAATTGCATTATGTTACAATCCCACAAGAATGTTACTCTTGAGACATCGATAGGATAGCAATCGAATTCTCGAGCCTCTTCCAAGTGCAAACTCGAATTTAAATTACTTCGTATAGTTGGTTCAGGCGTAGGATTGATCAATCAAATTCCAAATAACCGTATCAAAGTCAAATGAAGGTCTAAATCGTGAACGTAGTTGCCTGTTCATCACAAGAACCAACAGCACAATTTCAATATAACGTCCTTTCCCATTAATTATCCACACATATACCCCAGACACCGCTAGTACTATAATACTACAACAATACTACAGTGTTCCGGCACGTCAACCACGATACTCCACATGCTAACTAAGAAGCGCTCGCGGCATTTCCCAGCCGCAGTTAAAACAAAGAAGTGGGCAATAATTGGTGCGCTGTAGGTACACTTTGTCGGGCGCAATGGACCACTTAAGGTGGATAAATACATTGTGAGACGATTGTTCGGGGGCATTCCCCCCCTCCCTAACTACTGCCCGCCGGTCTGGGCATTTGGGCACTCGGGCAACTCACTATTCAACCATCGCTGCTGGAGACGTGATGAAACAGTGGACTATAATGGACCTAGTAAGAGTTCTCATTGAAATACCACTTGTATTACATCGTTGTTTGATAAAGAATGTGCTTTGGTAAAAACAGTGTATCTTTGTAAGAGGACTCTTAAAAATCTCTCGCTTAGAGGTGTAACAATATACTGAATAGTCAAAAGTATATACAAATGATAATCGTTTTGGCATATTTGGCCGATCTAACAAGATATCTATCAAAGGCAAACATGGGATCGTTTTGATTGGGCACTGAAAGGTCGCTAATGCAATGGAACATTTAAATTACGAGAATGGCCGAAACTTGAGAGACCTAGAGCTCAAATAGTGTGCGATTCAAGTAGGCTATATTGGAATTGAAACAAACAACTACAAACTTATTACATTATCATCGCAAGGATTTGTTCATAGGAGTATCACAGTTTCTCACTATTGAATGAATGAATGAATGAATGTAGTGTATTAAAAAAAAAAAAAACATAGGCTACAAGCTGTGATTATAAACTAAATAAAGTATAATAGACAGAGACTTTTGTCACTAAAATATATTATACGAGTTTTAATAAAGCCAAAAATTATAACAATAAAATATTTAAGACCTATTTGTTTTACTTTATAGGAAGACCTTCATCGTCAGTGGGACTTCAAACCACACAATAGCTAAGAACTATTGGTAATCTATGAGATTCAAATGCGGGCTTCCAGAACAATGAAAACTATTTAACCACATAAGTGTTACTGAAACGTCCATGTGACTGATTAACAAACAAAAAAACGTACAATAAAAGTATAAAAAAGTCTGAAAATTTCCTCTAATTGGTTAGTTATTTCTCTCAAATCAGAAAACGTGTCAGTCAACCCACCAGAGATTGAAGTCCCACAAAACCGCTTCAATGTTATAAGGAAAACAAAACTGAAACGGATTACAGTATCTTTGTGGACAGGACTTCATCTTGTAACCTCGAGATTTGCAAGTCAATCCACTGAGATACTTATCAGACGGATTTTTTTTCTGCTGAAAAGTGTTTGTGTTGGTACCTTGAATTCATGATGGACCTAATATATTTTGTACTATCAAACTGTTTTTCTTTAATTAATGGCTTGTAACTTAGACTTATACTATCCAACGAGAACTTGTTAAAAATCATCATTGAACTAGAAACCAATAATAAACAAGTAATTTCGATAATTATTTATTAAAAATACATTATTAACTATCAACTGTTTTGATGGATTATAAAACATGACCCAATCCATCGACGAGTAACCATCCGATTAAATTATATTGGTAAGTAAAATAATAAAATGTTTAGTGCAAAATGTTTAAGAATAATTCTTTTACTGTTTAAAATTTACGTAAAAATATGAGAGGTTGTTTTTTAGAATTTCTCTATGTAAAAATTAAAATTCGATTAGTTTGTAGGTTTGCTGTGCAAAGGTACTTATTTAATAAGAAAATAAATACCGAAAGCTTTGCTAAATTAAATAAACATCTTTTTCTCTCATCATACTGTCTTTACACTGCACACCTCATGACATTAATTCCTTTAACAAATGCCTTAGCACTAAGTGTCTTACTGTAGATGGATCGACGCAGTATAAAGAAGCACTATGTACAAAACCGACTCGCCATCATTACCTCGTCATTATAGCATGTGTCCATTAGCATGGCACCCGTGACATAAGTGCTGAAACGCATTGAGGGCCAAGCTACTTGACACAGGCTGTAGTTGGTCTAATGTAGTCACAATTTGGTTGGCTACATCGGAATCACTAGGAAATACTCTTTTCCAAAAAACATTTAATTTTTAGGCATTGCTTCAAGCAATTACAGTAGGACCTCGATAACAAGTCACACTCGATAACAAGGGTTATTTTCAAATCCCCTTGAAATTACTTTACCCCTAATCACATGTTATTGCAAACTTCAGTAAAAAGTGTACATGTCAAGGTACTGTCCAAAAAGAATTGCTTTGAAAGAAATTACTCAGAAAACTATATAGGTACAAGTGAACTATTACGAACAAATTAGACTCCCATTAGACCTATCACTTCAAAAAATAATAAATATCTCATAAATAAATAAATATCTAATAATAATGATGTGTCTGTCTGTATTTCTAAAACGAAAGAAACCCAGGTCCAAACAAGCTGCACGAATTTGCCCACGTGTTCAGTATCACTGTAGGTTTTTTTATAAATCAAGCAGGCTTTGCCCTACAATCTTTCTACGTTCTAAGGATTCTGAGGTGGCACTTAGGGAGTTTAGTGTCAATTGAGCTCTAGAAAAAAAAACTATTCAACTTCAGAGATCCGAAGATTTCAACTTATTCAACTCCTATCTCGATAATTACGTTGCTGAACCACCAAGGCGCTGAGCGTCTGAATGCTGTCACAAGTATTTACATACAATATGCAATTGTTCGTCAAAACCAATACATCGCTGTAGCCACGGCTTAACGAGTTCCGGCTTTGATGGATAAATACACTTCTAGTGGGCGTCCAAAAACTGTGAAGAATGTTGAGTAAAAGTTGTCTCGACTTGTCATCGGTATTGTCAAAAGTATGAAAACAGGCAGTGTTTTTACTCAGAATTAGGTAAAGTGCTGATGAAGTTTGGGTTGTCGTTAGACTATTTATTATCTTGCAGTAAACGTGATTATAAAATCTAATTTGTCATCAAACGAATTGATAAGACCAACCTGACAATCTGTAACATTGACTATACACAGAGAGACTCTGACAATGTCTGAAACCACGTCTTGCTATTGGCAATACATGATCCAGAATGTTTAATTTGTCTCAAGAAGGTCTCGGCACTGTAAAAGATAGAGGCCGACGTTGTAGCGTCGCAGCAATAGATAAGGGGGGAAACTAAAGCGTCCACGGTCTACTTTAACCGTAGAACCAACCATCAAGATGATCTTCATTTACTCAATCATAACAATATGTTAGAACTTTTGTTAAATCATCAATGAACGTTTTCCGGGAACAAGGAGAATACAAAATCCTCTTCCCCATCTCCAAGAAGCGCACGGTGTTGGGATAAGCCCATTTTGACACATTTTATCACAATCTGTTGGACATTTTTTCAAATTCCTCATCAAACGTTTGACAGAAACAAGTAAAATGCGAAATCCTCCGTGAACGTATCTCCAAGAACCACGTTCTTCTTTCTTCAAACAGAGGGTAATGCAGTGGAATCTTGATCTTTCTGAAGATGGCTGCGTTGTTGAATTGGCTAAAATTACTGGACAAAATTTTTGATGCGTTGGAGCAATCCATCTCCTATATGAAGTTGAATTTGGTATAAACTATCCAAAACGTTGGCTACTATCTTCACCAATATTCAAAGACACGGTAATCCCTTGGAGACATATATTCTACTGTCTACTTTCATCGTGGCAGTCTACCATCATATCAAGAGAGAGAGCTTGATGTTGAACTCGGAGGCCTGTCAAAAATCCCGTCTGTCATGGATAACACACTATTCTGTGAACAAGATGATTAAGTCATTGATCTAGTTGGCAATATAGGTCTATAATCGCACACACATGCCCGTTTGCCCACATATTCTTTGTCTGTGTGTGTAAGCGAAGGTAGAAGCACGGAAGCGCGTCCACCAACGTCCGTCTGTCTTCTGCTCATTCCCACGACGGTCTAATTATAGAACAAGACCACGCGAGTGCTTCTGGCTGTCTGTTGTCCGTCAGAAGTTTATCTTTAACCCGCTTCTTACTTGGGAATGTGTAAAAACACACCACAACGCTTTTTACGAAAGATATTTTACTCGCAAGGATCATATTGGACTTCAACCTGTATAATTCTTCTTTGAGACCAATCGTAAACTTCAGAGGTGTTTTAAAGTCACCGATGCCAATGTTCCTTCAGAGATTCCAGTTGGCCAAGTAAATACAAAACCAAGCTATTCAAGATGACTTTGGATCTATTAACGTTTCTTGACCATTTTACGTAGAACAATATTCACAGACTATTTTGACTATGAAAGCCAAAAACTTTCAAGAACAGTTACAAAAACTTAAATTACATTGAGAAACTTTAAACGTTTTCAAGGATTGCATATTTTTTCTTCGAATTAGATGAATAAGTAAAGTTAGGTGAAGGATTAAATTAAAACTAATCACTGCGTTATGAAGTAGATGCAAAAAAGTAACTCATCCAAAAAATATAGTAGGTTAAACTAACCTAAAATAATCGACTCATGACTGAGAAAGTTGAATAATTACTCAGAAAACATATGAAGGAGGTATAAAAGAATTAATGTGTTAAGTACTTGAACTTCTTCCTATATTCATCTTGCATCTAATGTGGTGTCAACTGGGAATACCTAACTTACGATAAATACTTTTTTTTAAACAGTTACAGCAGATATATCAGTTGGCAGTAGTCATTGGTTGTAAAGTATGTGCTAACAGCAACCACAACTTGTTCCATTTATTTCTGACTCTGTGTGCTGTACATGCGTCATCGGAAATACCTGCAATGTATCAGTCAAGTGGAGAGGGGCCTAACGTTACCTCAGCGTGCTAACTAACCTAATGGCCATAATTGGTATTTCTGCTCCGACATTGAATAGAGGGAAATCCTTCTATGAGAAATGCAAAGGATGCGATTGATCCATTTACACTAACTAAGAAATGAAATTACACAAACTTATGATGACTGGACTTTTAAAGATTTGTCCTCAGGATTTTTTAAAGATATGTCTTGACTTAGGAGGTTGATTGGTTTTGCCAATTTTACAACCTTAGCAATTATTTTACAGCTATTCGAACTTGTAGCGTGAATGCGTTTTCTGTTAGATTTTGTCGGATATTACACATTACTAGTATCAATGAACTAAATATTGCATTTAGTGGTGTCTTCATTACTTTGAATGATTTTTTTGAGCTGTTATAGGTTCACAAAAAAAAAAACTGTTATCATACAAAAAAGCATTTGTTCAAACAAAGCCATTTATTTCGAAGCAACAAAATAAATTGCTTGGAACACACGATGCTCAATAGACACATATATTTTTCTCCATCCTGCACGCTGGATATAAAGCAGAGTTTCACATCGACAAGTGTAGATCTATCAGTTTTCATGTCACAGTATTTCACTATTCAACCTTCAATGGAGCCAGTCTGTACACACATTACACACAGACCTCACGACCTGAAGGAATAGGTAAGTAGCGATATAAAAGCGAGAAGTGTATTTATTTGAAGGCAGACATGTGAAAAGGTCGAGCGGTGAAGCCACACCTCTGTGTAAAAAGTTCACATTGCCTACATTGGCTGCAAGCGACACAGTGACTACTGGATGGAGAGAAGTTACGACCATGTTTTGTGTAAAATAAAACGTATGGAAATGGTACGAGCTATGGTAATAACAGGTTGATATAAACTAGAATTGAACACACGTATAAAAAAATGTTTCTCCATATTGATAGTACTTTATGCATTTGATATGGGTGTATTTATATTGAAACAAATGATAATTCCAATAAGTGATTAAGCTGGAATATAGTAATTTATTCGAGAAAGGTTCCCCACTATCTTGCACATATTTTGAAAATAACGCATGGGCTGAAAGGTCAAATTTAACTAGTTCCACCCTAATTTCGTCTTGGCAAAGGGAAAGTGTGTTTAGTGACAAGGGCGTTGACCTCTTCATGGGGTATGGAATACGTCAACCCTTTAAATACAACAACGAGGAAACTGCGATACTCAAAAGTTAAACTCGTGAATTGTATTTGCTTTTGGTGGGACGCTGATGATAATTAGTAAAAAAAAAAACTACGAATTTAAAAATATTTGTACAATTCTCAGCAAAATTTCAAATGTATCGTTTGGCAACACAAAGAAGTAATATTAGTTTCTACAAAAACAATAAATTAATAGTCAACATTTCAAACGCGATCCGTGCCACCGACCGTTGAAGTCTTCGCCTCTGGCTAAACGTTGTTGAGTGGGCGTACTCAAAAAAGGATACAGAGGCCATGAATTTTCAAACTTTTAATTGAATTTTTGTTCGAATTTGCAAATAATACAAAAAGACTAAACTTTTGGACTCACAAAATTCACACTGAGGAGTTGATAAAACAAAGACTAAAGGCTACACTGAGCTACGTATCTAGAAATATTTGTCGAAGTACCACTTGTTTGGAACCCCAAAAAACACGTGTCATTTTAATAGATACCTGTATTTTAAAATGCAAAACCAATTAAATAATCAACACATTCTGAAGAGGAAGAACATTAAAATTTGCTAAGTCCGCATCGAAAAGTCGGTTAAAACACTAGTCGGCGAAAAGTCACTAGAAGGCGCAATAAACAAGCTAATATTTGTCAACTACAATCAAAACTCATATAATTAAGTACAATGTTCAATAATATTTGCGTTGTATCCAGATCAAAACACCATAACAACCACAAGGTATGACGCAGTTGAAAACAGGTCTCGGAGTCAAGTGTTGACTGTTATGTTTGTGGTCGAACCGGCCGCCGGGGGAAACAACAGCAAAACCTGTCGAGTCGGAAATGCAAGACTCACTACTACAGGCGGTGGGGGGTGCAAGTAACCGGTTCATATCTGGTCATTCATAAAGTCGGCCCAGTCCGTAAACATAGACAAAAACTAGATACCGTGCTTGTGGGAGGTTTGACGGGTCGAACAGGTCGGACCTGTCCGCTGTTTTGGTATAGATACTGTTGTGTGGAACAGGTGGCAGTGCAGGTTGTGAGGTTAGAGGTTAGGGTCGTGGTCGAGACTTGAGGTTAGGTTTGTGTTGTGGGGGAGTGTGTTGTGTCTTGTGTGTTCCTTAGTGAAACGTCTAGTGCTATTTGAGGTTATGTTTGGAAATAAATCTAACATTTACACTGTATCGCTTCAACTCGTATCACTACACTATAAACAAAACACTCACCGAAGCCTTGAAGACCCGAATAGTCACAGGTACCGAACACACGCGCACACCGGTCCCTCACTTACGCGCACCTTGCACAACGTGTTTCCTCCCCCAGAGAAAGTAAAACCACCATCTGCCGTGCACTGAAGGTGTCCAGGCGCATTCCCTTGCTAGTCTGACCCGAGTCCTCTACCTGCGCGGCGCTGCGGCTATGGCGGCTCAGTCTCTCTCTCTCTCGCACACTCTGCCTCTCTCACTCCCACATTCTCCGTCTTCGTCGCTCGTCGAGGCCACGGGCCGCGGGCGATCCACAGACATCGCCAGCCACTCTTTTTTCATCGTCTTTCGTTGTCGATCCTCTAAAACACTCCGCTGCCTTTGCTTTTTTTGACCGCCTTCGGATCTCCCCTCCCTCCAACCGGGCCGTCGAGGAACAAAGACAATAATTAAAGATTATTTGGCACTCTGGCCACTTAATGAGCGCTTGGTGATTATTTTAATTAGGCTTTTAGTCGCTGTGTTATCGAGATGCTGAAGAAGCTCGTTTGTGGTTTGTGACCGCATATATCTGCTGATCGGTAACTGTTTCTGTGTATGAATATCTAACGAGCGCTGAATTCGGTACCTTGGTTATCTTACGAAATGCCATTCATTGGCGATAGTAAAAAAATTGGATTTAATGTTTTATTTCGTTTAAACCCGCAACATGCAATCTCTCAGACTAAGACTTCACAGGTGGGAGGGATTGTGACCCGCGAATTCTTCTATACAGTATCTTGTTTTCAAACTAAATAAAAATATATACAATTGGCCTCCTATTTATATTGACGTTTCATGAGTATGGGTAGATACAAATTTCAGGAATGAGCACCTGTCCTTGAATGGTAACTGGTTATTAAACATTTACTCTGATCAATTTCCTTACATGACTTCATATTTACTTGAAATTCTTGCGTGCCTTGAAAGTACTACGCTTTCCTCTAGTGCAACCAATTAATTTGCGTGGATCGTTTTCCTTGCCCTGGCATTATTTTATTAAGGAAAACCGACACAGTTTACTTTCAAGTCAGTAGTATAAATGTTTATTACAAAGAAATAGTTAATAATTTATTAGGTAGTTAGTCACTAAACAAAATAACCTTGAACAGTTTACTGTTGACGGAAGGTGATAAATATAGGAGACTTTAACGGGTGGATAGCACGTAGGAGTTGTACATTAAACATTGTAGAAATTGTTGATGATTTGAAATGTAGTACTGTAATTGGTTACAATAATTCTGAAATATTGAGTTTTCACAGCTCACGTAGCTACATACATGGATACATGGAGTAAAAGATGCAAGTACAAGAGTACAAGAGACTTAAACGCGTGGGAAGCACGTAAACGTTCTATTCCAGACATTCGATTCATCAAATAGTTTCCATTAAAATACAAGATTAACATAAAATATAAATAAAGTGAATGCGTCGAGCCCAAACTTAACTATTTTCTAAACATATGCAAAACAAATGGGAGAACAATAAATTAGGTCTATGGCCTACTTTAAAATCCGAAAAATATAAGTTACTCATCAAACATTTCTGAAGAAGCACCAAATCTTTGTCTCATCTTCAGACAGTCAATCAGCATTTTAAACATAAAGTTACTTGCACTTTGGAAGATTAGGTTTTTATGACGCTATACTTTTTCGGGGCGCCAGTAAATGTTCGTGGGTCTGTATTTTGTGCAGCCCGTCGCAGAGGCAGTAAACTTGCCTACTTTAGGGTCTCCGGCCGGTTCAAAACGGTTCAATTTCCAAAATGCAATGAGGCCTCGCGTATTTTGAAGAACAAAAACAAGTATTTACATCCTATCAGGGCCGCCTTGCTGTTCTTTTTATAGGATCTCTCCGTCACAGGAGATTAGGGGGCGAAGTCTGGCGTCTTCGGGCCATCCTTGACCTTTGGTGGGGCTTTACATAATTTAAATAAAGTGGAAACTGTGATTCTTCTGGAGTAATTTATGTTGTAGGAAACAAGAAGCTGTAACATTTCAGTGTGATTTAGATATAAGGCCTCGATATTGTTTGGGGTTTGTAAATTATTGAAAGGTCATGGGCTTTGTCTTTGGTAATTTGGTCCTCTCAGTCTTTGGCTTAACATTTTAGTAAGCTACTTTTTTTTCTGTCGTGGATCTTTAGTCTTCAGCCTTGTACAGTGGAACCTCGATAAGAAGACCCTCGATAACAAGTCATTCTTGATAACAAGGGACATTTTCAAATCCCCTTGAATTTATTTGACCCCAAATCACATGTTATTGCAAACCTCAATAAGGAGTCAACCGTGATAACAAGTCTCATTTAATAATCCCCATGAGAGTCTTGTTATCAAGGTTCTACTGTATTAGTGATAGTTTGTTGGTTAATGTTATTCAATCTAATTTTTTTATGGCTTCACTAGCTAATCCTAGTTATGAAATATCCTTGATTGATCATAGTACTTCAGTATTTTATGAGTTTTTGTCCTTAAAGTTTTAATATTTTATTAATGAAAACTTTTTATCTTCAGTGTGGAGGTTTAAGATTCATTTGGCAGAGTGACTTTGTTATTTAGCCCTGGTAAATTATCAACCAACCTTTATGATTTTACGGCCAATCTCAATCGCCATATCTGTTACCATGCATATCTACCACCTGTAGGGTAATAATTACCCTATTGTAATAATTATTATTGTAATGGAATTCGTGTTTACCCTCCAAAAAACGAACTGCCATTGAATGGATGAACTACAAGGCTCAAATTAAGGCAGGTTTTTTTTACATTTTAGCTCGGACTGGGATTGGTTCCTAGAAATATAGAAGTGTATTGTTTACTTTTACACGTTTTCAAGTTAATTGGCTAAACCTCTTGAAACGACTGAGAAATCATTATATAACCTATATTATGCGTCGCAGTACAATCTATATTTATAATTTGTTCTACGGAGCTTGGGTATGTCGACTTAAAAGGTGGTTATAATTCATGTAAAATATCTCCCAAGGTTAAATAGAGAATGTTGTTGTATTTTTAGAAAATTGTATGTAAATCAATGCAAATCCTTATATAAATCCACAACAAAGTTTAAGAACCGGCATACATTTACTAGACAGGTACTTGGACGCTTTAAACAATTTTACAAAGATTTTAGGAATGTTACACCGAAACATGTTACAACTTGACTGCTATCAGGAATACTAGAGCTTAAACGGTAAATCATAAACATAAACAAATTACGTCACTGGTCCGAAAGTCTATACTAATAAACAACAGATCGTTTGGACGGTTTTGACAGTTCCATTTAACAATTAGTAAAAACATGTATACTTTCAGGTCAGTGACGTAACTTGGTTACGTTTTTTTTATGATACATACTGTACAGCTTTTGTTCTAATATAGGTGACCGTTAACATTGAAACTATCGTAAAACTCATATTATAGTTTCGGAACTGTTACAGTTGATTATAATTTTGGAATTATAGCTAATTTTTATATATTCAGAAAATCATGAAATTATAAAGTCTAGGTTATATTAAGTTCTGTAACCAATGGATATGTAATAAACAATGTATTGTCCAAGTATACAACAAAGCATAATACATTGGTCTTTTACACCTATAATAAGTGTTGTATGATGGAGGACAAAACCTCCTGTTCCTGAATTAGAATGTAATAATGTAAAACTTGTGTTTGAACAAAAAATGCACAGTGTATAGTGAAATTGTCAGTAAAAACTCTATAAAAGTTAATTAGGAAAGGTTTAGTAGTTTTAAAATAACTCAAAATCAATTTTACTCTACGAAACTGAAGTCGTGTCAATAATGTATAATGCTCTTACAACAGTTAGTTGTAACATGTGTTGTTTATTTACCATTCCTCATACCAACATGCGAGTGATTGTTGTGGCTGGAAGCTTTGAACAAACAGTGAAAGTTTGAATTTGACGTTTATTATACTTGTAAATAAGCGTTGCTGCCAATAGTGCCAATAGTGCCAATAGTTCATGAGTTTATGTCTTCTCTGAGCTATGGACTATTGGCGAAAGGCGTCTTCTGGTTATGAAGGAGTCGGAAGCCTTTGATCCAAAATATGTCAAATAATGTTAAAGTTGAATAACTACTTTGACCTGTTAGGCAAACTACTTTACGTTGAACTTTTGTAGATGTTTGAATAGTGATAGGTTAGTCTATATATATATAGTTATAGTTGAAACCGACTTGCATAGTCAAACACGATTAAGTATCATACAAAATCAGGAAAGCCTTGAATTTTTATAAAAAAGTTATGTTTTTTTGGTCAACTGTTGCTGTAAACCTGGAGATCTAAATAAATTTATTATAAAGTTTAATTGCACAAGAAATATTTTATAGATAGCAATGACGAATTTCATGGTCAGCTTTGTTGAAAAGAGTCACAATTACTTGCATGCTCAAAGGAATCCACTTCTGTCTAATTTCCCACCTTAGTTAACCAAATCACATATAAGTCATTCCTTTCGAAAGTCAAAGTTTCCAAATTTTTTTCGAAGTCAATTGATAGTTCATTCTAACCCTAATTGGGGATGTTCACTTTATAATCTTATCATAGTTTTGCTTGGCTTTTTGACCAAGCTTATTTGTTAGAAATTTAAAACATAATTCCTTGTTTGTGTTCATTTACACCAATTATTTTTGTAAGGAAATGAACGGTTCAACCCCCGATGAGTAACACAATTACTATTGAATCACTGTGTTCAGCGAAAGGGTTCTTTTATCATAACCTTTCAATATGGTGCGCCCATATGGTAGTTTTATATTGGACTTATTTATTGCTGTTAGTTGGAGTTTTATCCTATTAGAATGTTCAGCTAAGAGGTATAAGTTAAGATGTTCACACGACACAGAAACTTTGCCAAAAATGTATCCTTAAATCAATTATGCAACAAACTTGTTGCAAAACTTAACTAGTATTTTATTAATTGAAAGTTCCCTCCTGTAGGGTTTCATAACATAGCTCATCTACGTCCAGTAACTTGTCTCTGAACGTCTTATGATGCGTATTTAATTATCAGCTGTAAATAAACACCAGTCCTTGAGTGATCAGCTGATGAACATCTGATCGTGACTGTCTTATCACATCTGAGCCAGGATTGATAAGCTGCCAGAGGTCACGTC